ATACATAGACATACACATACATATACATAGACATACACATACATATATACACATATATACACATATATTATATACACATATATACACATATATACATATACATATATACATATACATATATACATATATACATATATATATATATATATATATATATATATATGGATGAATAGATGTATATATATGATCTTCCGGTAAGATGGCGCCTGTGTACATGGCCTGCAATCTACCTCTGACGATACTGTTTGGATTATTTCTGCTTTTTTCGTTTTTTGTCTGGGATATCAACTCGCTGCTTGTGTATGACCGACAACAGCTCCTCGATCTTCGATTGTCTGTTTCTGCTGTCGCTGATTCGGACCATTTTGATCGTGACTCGGGACACCCCCTCTTCCACCCCTTCTGGCAGACGTGCCTGCTTGTTTACGCTGGGCCCCAAGCCTGTCTTCTCGGAGATATCGATCCAGACGCCGGGGTAAACGTGCCGGCCGGCTGGTAAAACTCAAAGCTCTGCGTGGTCAACGTTTCCACAGCCAGCTTCCTACGTGCCCGGACCAGGGAAGATATGGGTGTTGTCTACCGGCCCGGCGCTTGGACCGTCCTGGAGGCGCTGTTTTTGAAAACCTGCAACCATTGGCGCGCACCACCCCCACCATGGCTGGTTCTGTGTCGGACCAGATCAGGACGTGCCTCATCAACTCAAGGTCTGTTGCCAACAAGACTTTTATTCTAAATGACTTTTTTAAAGACAAGGGACTAGATTTTCTTTTTCTCACGGAATCTTGGTTGCCTTTGGGTGACTCAAGCGCCTTGGTGGAACTTTTACCTCCTGACTGTCTGTGTTTTAATGCCCCGCGACCATCAGGTCGGCGGGGTGGTGGAATATTAACTGTATTTAAATCAAACTTTTCCTGTAAACACTTGTCCACCCTCACGCCCTGCTCCAGTTTTGAGCTGAGTGCTTTTGAACTCGGACATTCTCCTCCCGTTCTGTGTGCGATTGTTTATCGCCCCCCTCGTTCCAAGGACTTCATAAGTGAATTCTCTGATTTTCTGGCTTACATCACACCAAGATATGATCACTTTATTATCGTTGGTGACTTTAATATTCACGTCTGTTGTCAGGAGAAGCCGTTAGTGAAGGACTTCCTTGATCTGTTGGACTCATTTAATTTAACTCAACATGTAAATGCTCCCACCCAACAACACGGTCACACTCTGGATCTCATTTTAACACGTGATGTCTCTGTTTGTAATTTGGTAATCGGTGACAACATTCTCTCAGACCACATGCCTGTCTTGTTTGATATCATCCCGCCTTGTCCTACTGCTAAGTCATGTGATTCTGCACATACTTCACACGCCATTAACCGTTTCACTGCTGCACGTTTTACTGAAGCTTTTAGCTCTGAGAGGATCGATCAGCTCTCAGTGTCTCTCTCCACCGAGGAGCTAACCTCTCAGCTTAACTCTGTTTGCTTAAATATTCTGGACCGTGTTGCTCCCGTTAAAACCAGGAAAACAAAACTTTTATCAGAACCTTGGCTTAATGACGTCACTCAAGCCGTTAGACAGCAGTGTAGGAGAGCTGAACGCAGGTGGAGGAAAGACAGGATGCAGGTTTCTTTTCAAATCCTAAAGGAGAGTTGGCATCATTACCAGAAGGCAGTTAAAGCCGCCAAATTGAAGTTCTTTTCTGCAATAATTGCCTCAAACTCCCACAACCCCCGAGCCCTTTTTTCCACCCTGAACTCAGTTCTACACCTCAGTGAACCTTCACCTCTAGAAGCTTCAACTGAGCTGTGTGAAAACTTCCTACATTTCTTTTCTGAAAAAGTTGCAAACACCCGGGCACTCATTTCTCCACCTGCTCATGATCCGTCCATCCCTTCTTAGTGTGTTGCTGTTCTGGACCACTTCGAGCCCATCTCTCTGTCTTCCCTGGAGCAGGTCATGTGCGGCATGAAGCCATCTGGCTCCCCTTTTGACGTTGTCCCCCCTCGACTCCTTAAGGAGCTTCTTCCTGTTCTGGGCCCTCCTGTTCTTGGCACTGTGAACAGCAGCTTAGCCTCAGGTGTGGTACCAATAACTTTAAAACATGCTGCTGTCCAACCTCTCCTGAAAAAACCTAGCCTTGACCCCTCAGTCATGTCCAACTTCCGGCCTGTCTCCAGACTCCCATTTGTCGCTAAACTGCTGGAAAAAATAGTGGAGTCCCAGCTGAAATGCTTTCTAGAGGATAATGCCATCTTAGAGCTATTCCAGTCTGGCTTTAAACCTCTCCACAGCACTGAAACTGCTCTACTCAAGGTTTTTAACGACATTCTCCTATTCACAGACGCTGGTGGTTCTGTGCTCCTTCTCTTACTGGACCTCACATCTGCCTTTGATACAATCGACCACGAGATCCTCATTGCGAGGTTAGAGCAGTGGGTGGGCATCACTGGGTCAGCCCTCGAATGGTTTAGATCTTACCTCGCTGACAGGTCCTTTTGTGTCTCCATCAAAGATTTTAGTTCAGCCTCGGCAGCGCTTAAATGGGGGGTACCGCAAGGGTCCATCCTTGGTCCTCTTTTATTTTCTTTATACCTGCTGCCACTAGGTGCTATTTTCAGGAAACATAACATACCTTTTCATTTCTACGCCGACGACTGCCAAATCTACTTCCCCCTCAGACTCAACGGTACTCGCTCTATTCAACCGTTACTGGACTGCCTGGCTGACATCAGAGATTGGATGGCTTTAAATTTCTTGAGTTTCAACGAGAAGAAATCCGAAGTTATGCTGTTTCCTCCCAATGACACAATCACCAACCACTGCATCGACCTATCCGTTCTGTCACCGTTAGTGAAACAAAGAGTCACTAATCTAGGAGTGATACTTGACCCTTCTCTGAAACTCAACAATCATGTAAATATGATTGT